AGGTCGTTGGGTTTGTTTGGGTGGTTTGTTACGCTCCAGGCCCCAGCCTATGGGCATGGATGGGAATCGTCTATGGCTGTGGTCCTTAAATACTAGTTTTCACTCCTTCTGGAAATGTTGCTCAAATTTTGACAGGCATCAGGATTACTTTGTGAACTAGTTAAAACACAGACGGCTGGGTCCACTTCCCAGAGTTTCTGATAGAGAAGATTTGGCCTTAGGCCCAAGGATTTGCATTTCCCAGGAGATGCTGATGTTGCTGGTCCCAAGATGACCCTTGAAGAACCACTTATCATTTTTCCAGTGTATTTATACACACACACACACACACACACACACATACATGTGATGGCAAATGTAAGATATTTTAAAGGGAATAATTATCTTTTAAGATTCTAATGATTATCAGAAGCAAGGTTTTAGTCACGATCAAGGAAATTCTGCATAGAGTGTTCCAAAGCCCAACAAAGAGAGTTTCCCTGCCACCCTTCTAATTTGTGATTATTTCAGACCTTCAGGCAATTTGCTGGGAGAAATCTAAGCAGCAACCGGGCCCTGCGTACCAAAGAATACACTGGCCCACTAAGGGCCAAAGGGTTGTCAGCTTGAAGAAGGCACCACTGGGTTTTCATTTGCAGCATCCAGTGGTTCTGAGAGTATTATGCCCCAGAGAATCATATCCGAATAATTACGTGAAAAGAAGGCTTGATCTGTCTTGAAACTTAGTTGATTTTGGTCACACTGGAAAGCATGGTCACTTTCTGAGCTGTGGGTTTGCCTGGATCAGCCTTGTGAAGAAGTTAGGATTTAGTCTAAAATGATGGTTTGGCAAAAAGCAAGGTTGCCTATGAGACTGGATTGGGAGGTTTATCCAGCAGGATAGAAGACTGCAGGAACTTTTGGATTTAGTACCAGATTCCAGACCCCCCACCTGATAACTCCTTCCTTGCAGCCTCGCTCTGGCCAGCACCGTGGGCTCGAGTCCTCCCTGCAACAAGAGCGGGAGTGCTTTCCTCTCCCCGCCTGTCCAGACCCTCGCCTCCCCAGGACAAGTGTCCCCACTCCCTTCCCTGATTCCTCTCTGCCACAATTCAGAATGGCTGTTTATTTTATGGGCTTTCCCACCATTAGCATGTTTCCCATGCTGCCTTCTTCTTTGCCATCATACATGTGCAAATCAGTTTCATTCGGACGATTCATGTGACCTACTTCGCTTGTTGAGTAGTTACTACCATTGTTTGACACTTGCTAGCCCATCCTGTACATTGTTTTCTCACACAGCCTGTTGCGATTCGTTTCTGTCCAGTGGATTCCAATTAGGCGTGACCAATCTGAGCCAAGCAAAACGGTCCCACACGGTTTCCCAAGACAGTCTCTTGATGGAAGCCGATGGCCAGTTTCCTCCCACGGAGTGGCTGGCGGGTTACTCTATACGATCGATCTTTCCTTACAGAGGTGCGCTCAGTGACTGTGTCACTGGGGTAGACATTTCTATTTAATTAAACTTACATTTAAGTAAATTTATTTTCGCCAACCATATTTACTCCCACACGTATCATTTCTCTGTGCACACACTTCACTCTTGCGCTTCCATACTCGCCGGAAGTGAACTCACTTTGGCTTGGAAATCAAGCTCTCCCCAGTCAGCACCTGCATGTGACTGCCTTTCATTTCCCAGCGCCCTCTCTCATCAAGACAGCCAGGTTGTTGGATGGGCTCCTTGGCCTTTCCTGGCTTTGATCATGCCCTGCCCGTTTTCCCTTACATGCTAAGCGAACAGCGGTGCTCAACCTGTGGGGTGCGATCCCTTTGGGGGTCGAATGATCCTTTCACAGGTGTCGCCTAAAAACATCAGAAAACACATTTCTGATGGTTCTTAGTAACTGTCCTCTCCAGGCGGCCCGCCCACATGCAGATTCGCCCACAGAGGAGCACCCAGCGTGAAGACTGTTAACCCATGCTACACCATGCTTTGAGACAAAATTTCATTTCTTTGTCATTAGAAATAAATATTTCACAATCTATAATTACGTATTGTTTTGTGATTCATCACTATGCTTTCATTATGTTCAATTTGTAACAGTGAAAATACATCCTGCGTATCAGGTATTTACATGATGATTCATCACAGCAGCAAAATGACAGTTGTGAAGTAGCAACGAATATAATTCTATGGTTGGGAGTCAACACCACATGAGGAACTGTATGAAAGGGTCTCAGCATTAGGAAGGTTGAGAACTACTGTCTCAGAACATCCTCACCTCTCTCTGTGCAGGTCCAATCACCTAGGCTCCAGGGCTGAGGCCAAATGTTTCTTTTAAGGACTGTCTCTTATGCCTCCTGTACCTTGTACAGCTGCATGCTCTCAGCATTTTCTTGTCCTTTTAAACGTCTTCTCATTTTCCTGCTTGTGTAATGTCTGTGTAGATATGTCAGCCCCCCGGCATTTTTACTGAATGGGAGAAAAGGCTAATTGCTGATAGCTTAATTAGTAAAATGTAGCCTCACAATAGATATTAGTTAGTTGTGAAAAGAAAAACAGATCTTGGTCTGAATCCTGCCTTGACCACTTACTGAATGCTTGACTTTATTATACTCTCCTTACTTCTCTGGGGCTCTTTTCCTTGGTGAAAAATGGAGGGCAAGGGAACTTGCATTGCAAAGTGTTGCTGAGAATGCAAGAAGACATCAATTTTCCTGTGGCATCAGAGGAAAGCCTGGGACGTAGAGCCCCCGGCGGCAGAGGTTTCGCCAAGATCAGATGAATCTAGACAATTTCAGCCCTGCGCTTCCTTCACCCCAAAGCTGCTCCATCTGGCCCACCCCAGGGGCTGGGGGAGAGAATGAGAGCCAGGGGCTACTACCAGTTCCTCTCTGGTCACAATGGCCAACATTTGGTCCTGTAACCACAATTAGCTGCAAAGGAGTTTGGGCATATACGTCTCACTGTGTTTTCTGCTGAAACTCCGGAAACCAGGATCGCTAAAGAGCAAAGGAAGAAAGGGTTCCACCAATGCCCACCGCAGCATCAGGGTTCTGTGTCAGTCGTCCATGTCACAAAGCAGCGGTTCTCAACCTGTGGGTCAGGACGCTTCTGGGGGGTCAGGCGACCCTTTCACAGGGTCGCCCGATTCATAACAGTAGTAAAATGACAGTGATGAAGTAGCAATGAAAATCATTTTATGGATGGTGGGTCTCCACAACATGAGGAACTGTATGAAAGGGTCGTGGCATAAGGAAGATTGAGAACCACTGGTATAAATTGTTGACTGGAAAACTTAATTTGTTCTACAAACTTTCACTCAAACTACAATGAGGTTAAAGAATAATAAAAGACGAATCTAAGCCTTTTTTGGGAGGAATTCCCCAAAAGACTTTGTGGGTGCTCTGCTAGCTTTCATGCCGTCTCTCTGCGAGGACACATGTGCTATTTAAAGGTGTGCTACGCTTACTCTTTCCTGCCGACAGCCACTCCATCTATCTCCACATCTGTATCAATTTTCTTTCATGGACTGCTTCCCTTTACGTCAGCTGCTCTCCTGTACCACACAAGGGCAGTCACCGGGCACGGGCCCTGAAGACATTTCAATTGTTTAAATGCAGCTCTAAGAAAAATGCAAGTTTATGAACATGTCAAATCTGCATCAAGCTGGTCATACACATCTGTGGCACATGGAACAGCATATTTTAATTCCATTTTTAGCGACTCTTTCAGCTCCCTGGGCCTTTTCCTTGATCAGCCACCAAAAGGGAGACCCCATCATTAAAGTGCTTCGCTCTACCTCAGTGGCCTGACACATTTCAGGACGTGGTAATGCTCTGGAAATATGGGATGTCTGCTGCTGATGTGTGGCTGCCTTTCTGTTCCCCACTTGATGCTGTGCTGTCATCCCGATACAGAGAGGTCGTGTGGCTACCCGAGCAAGCTTCCAATGGAAGGTTTTAGCCCAAAGCGGGAAGCCAAGCTATCCTTCCAAGCAAAATGTTTAGAGAATGTTTCAAGGCGAATGGTGAAAAATGAAGTATTATGATAGAGATGTATGTTGCAAGGGGAGTCACGGAGGGACCTGACGATGCAGAGCACACCCTGAAGAACAGGAGAAGTGTCTACGGGAATGTAGGCAGGGAGGACATTATGCTTACTCGTGAAAGGAGGTGGAGAATTCCAGGAATCGCGTCCATACGGGAGGAGTAGCGGTAGTTGGATTTGTGCACAATAAGTGTTCAAAATTGGACCTATGGACTTGAGTTGGCCTGGGCTGGGATGTTTTTATCGATATACAATTGCTTCTTGATATAAAGTTCTTTCTTACGCATTAAAAAAAAATTGCAAAGGCTTCTGGGCCGGCTCCACCGAAGGTCAGAAGTGTCTGGTCTACTCTTGTTCCTGCGTCCAGGCTGAGCTGACCGAATGCTGAATGCGGCAGGGTAAGGGAGAGGAACTACATCACATGATTCATGCAAGGGGAAGGTGGAGTTGAAATGGCCTCCTTGTTGTTGTTGGGTGCCATCCAGTCCGTCTGACCCCTGGGGACACGATATACAGCAGAACGAACACTGCCCAGTCCTGCGCCATCCTCACAACGGTTCCTACGCAGGAGTCCGCTGTGCCAGTCAATGACATAGGCTACTTCTTGTCATACGCGAGGGATCCTGGTGGTCTTGTGGGCTATGTAGTTATTGAGCTGCTATCTGCAAGGTCAGCGGTTTGAAATCACCGGTTTGAAATGGGAGACATGAAGCTTTCTATCTCTGTCAAGACTGAATGTCTGAGAAACTCACAGGGGTAGATGGCAGTGAGTGTGGCTTGGCTCCCTGTCCTATGCCACAATATGCCACAAGTGGAAAGGTAACTGGGTATGAGTGTGATGGAGCCGGTGTGGGCCTGGGGAGAGCCTTCCAAATCATTCAAGCTTAGAACATGAGGGTGGGGGAATTCCGTCTCTGTACAACGTCTCAATGTAGCTCAATGTTCAAAGAAAGAAGCATTCTGAGCAGTCTTTAATCTTTACATTTTTATTTCAAAACGTTGCATTTCATATTGATTAACACCTACTTTTAAACAGAATGATGCATTAATTAAATGCTTTGTCATAACTGTTATAAGCTCTGTTAGAAAAATAAACATCTCACAACAAACTACAGTGTCAGCTCTTTAATAAATACATCAAACAGAAGTTAGTAGTCAAGAGTTATAGGTAAAGGTTCATAGTATGTTATTTGAAATGATCATATTCATCAATTTTTCCATATTATTTAAGGTAATTTAACTTTATGTACACGTCAAAGCCTGAAATAATAAGAAATCTGTTTAATGATGATTTGGTTCTTTTTAAGAGCTATTTTATATTCAAATATTTTAATTTAAAAATCCACTATACTAAATTTATTTTTACAAATGAAGTACATGAAACCACATAAAGTTATGTCGCTAATCATTTTAAAACATTTATTTATTTTGCAGAAGTTTAAAAACTTTAAAGAAGAGGTAAATACCAAATGATCATAAACATTTTTAAAATGTACTCAAAATAAATTTCAGTATTAGTGTGCACAAATTTATTATTCAGGTAATTTAGATGAAAATATTTTATATTTACTCTTCTTAATATAATCTACATATTGGTCTGTATTTTTAATCAAAATCTCATATATCTGTGGAACTGTGTAAAGTCAAAATCTATTTTACACAACTCACATGTTTTCCATCCATACAGATTTTAATGGTACATTTATTGTGGTAAGATATTTTCACGTTCAGAAATTGATTGTGGAGGCTACAAACCTGATTAACAAAGTTAGCTTACTAAGGTAAATTTTATGCAAAAAAGTATTCCAGGTAGATAAAAGAGTAGTGTTTTTACTCTCAGATATTTCATTAACAGCTGTCCAGGTGGTTGAATAATATTATCACGTCTATTAAAAAATTAAATATGCATTATGAAACAGCCATACGTAAGATCGAAGGGAAATTTATCAGTCAAGAGAAACTCAAATGAGAGAACGGAAGTCATAGAAAAGTAAAATGACAGAAGTAGAAGATCTGAGAGAAAAGTTGTTTTCCACAGCACAGATTGGTTGTACAATTTTCTCCTGTCACCGACATAAAACAGATTAAGATGCTGTGATATCTAATTATGATGGTTTTCTGTAATATTGTTTCCAGTTTTTCTCTTTAAAAGTGAGATGATCATATACAACAGCTCCTTAGGAAGGAATGGAAAGAAAAAATAGTGCTAGAAATGATCTATTCCTGTTGGTTAACTTAAGGTTTGTGAAAACCATAGCCATTAGCTTAAAGTATCACCAGGAGTGGAGAAGAGCTTTGACACTCCCAAATCAGCAGGATCTGAGCTCACGCGACTGCCAGGCCCCGTTTTACATTGTTTGTGAGTTAGCTGCACTGAAAATTGGCTTCCCCTGTTGTCATAAATGGATTCTCAAATATGTATAAGAAATACCCCCATGCCTATGTCCATGGGTCTACAGTTGAATTAGGGTACTATTAATTCATGCAAAACTTTAAATATCCCAGTTAAGATGTCAACAATTGCAAGGTAGATCACAATTTCAGAGAGGTTAAACTGAAAAGGGTGTCTCAGAATCAAGGAACTATGAATATGGGTATGGATAATTAAGTTCACATAATACATATATAATAAAAAATTATAAAAGAGAAATAATTTGAAAAAATTCTAGTTCCATATTTCTTTGAAAAAGTATATCAGTTTGCATCTTTATCGTTATTAAGGTTAGTAATGATATAGAATAGTCTTAAGTTAAATATTAAGAATAAAATAAAATGCACGAGGCACAAATATGCACATGATAAAATGAATACCCAAGAAGCTGAATTTCACTTGAGACTTTCTTATTTATCTCAAGTTGTTCAACATGGAAAGAAATTCTAACAGTGGTGAAAATGTAGATGTCCTTGGTTTGTCTTTGTTCAGGAGCACAGAGTCAAACGAGTCTTAGCATTAACACATGATGTTTGAAAATAAGCAACTCCCTCGTACCCTTACATTCAACTCTTTTTCACAATTTGGCTTATTGAGCTTGAAGCTTTAGGGCAGTCTCTTGGGTTACACAAACGTAAAAACAGGTATAAGGAAAGGAAGGAATGTTCACAGCAAATCTTACCGAGTCTAACGAGTACCGTGAGAAATTAAAGAAAAACATAACTACCAGGAGAGAAAATTTTAGACTAAGAAAGCCATAATTCAGGTTGCCTGATGTCACACATCTAAGTATTTCAGTAGGGGTTAAGCAAGCATTATAAACGTGTTTGGAATTTATACTTTGGTGAACTGACATATTTGTGAGGTATTCCCTAATTTTAAAAATGTTTGGCTTAACTTTAGATTTTTTTAGGGCGGGGGTGTAACATTTTTATAAACCAAAGATGAACACTTATGATATAACCAGATCCTCAGTGGACTTTTGAGTCTTCTCGTGAATGTCTATGACCCAATGAGTATGAATAATTTCCAAAGATTATGTAAATGTTTATAACTCGACATGTGCTGAAGTATAAATATGTAGCCAGAGAAATAAAATGTTTAGCTACATTGTAGTGTATATTTGACACATTTCTGTATCATTATATATTTAAGGGCACAAAAAATACTGCCTACTAAAAGTATTATTCAAGTTCTTAATTTTGTTAGTAATTTAAAATTTCATTAATTGTACTTGATATCCATGAATCGCAAAAGCCTTCTCTTGCTATATTAGTTCAAACAGGCATTATTTACATACATTACTTAACCTAAGAATACCCTGTTTCCCCCTTTTTTAAATTAATTCTAACTAGGCCAATATTAATTCTCATCTTACAAAACCATTATACAGGAAACCAGTAATGATTCAAGTAAAATAACAGCACTAAAGTCTTTAATAATTAGATCTCTAAGTAAAAAGAGAAGCACAAGACATGACAGACATATCTACCATCACAATCTAGCTCTGAACTGCATATCAGGGAAGGTGATTTTTTAAGTACCAGCTTTGCCTGGTACAATGCCAGTGCAAATGAATGTGGTGTCAAAAGCGAACACCTTGATTTCTCAGCGTTTCATTATTTTATGCTCTTTTGAATAAAAGTTATTTTACAAACACGGTAATGCGCAATTTAGAAACTGTGAGCATTTCAATGACTAGCTATCTTCTAATTTTCCCTTTTACAGAGGTTTTCAGACATGCCTTTAGTTTTACTTTTTAAAATGCTGTGATGTGTGACAGGCAGGCTGCAAATGGGGATTTCTGCCTTATCCTGGGTGATCGAAGCCTTCTTACATAAGCGAGGCACAGTACGGAATCACAGCAATGTCCCCACTCTCGTTTCACCAAGGAAATGCTGTTCAATTTAGATTTATAATTGTTGGCGTGGGAACTTTTTCTGTTTGTTGGCTCCAAAACATACTACTAGAAGCTTTTCGCTCCTCTTTATGGTAGAATATGGAGTGGGTGCTAGTCTTCATTAAATTGCAAATTTCCTAGCTCTCTGATCTGCACAAGTGCTACAAGACAGCAAATCTAGGGTAGGAGAAGAGATTTTGAATAAATTCCTTTGTTACCATAGGCACAGCTCTCTAGTGCACACAGCCTCTCTCTGGTGGTGCCTGATGTCAGATCTACTCTGTCCACATAGATTGATTCATGGGAAAGACTTTCAACTGAACAAGACTCGGGAACTTCCTGCTTCTGTTCAGTCTGACAGTTGAACACTGCACCACTCCATGGAAAGTCCTAGGGATGCTGGTCAACAGCTAAGGTGTGAGTAGCTTCCCTTGGAGTGGTGCCAGGCTGTGGTCCGGACTCTCATGAAAGCCTGGAAGTGGGTGATGGGCTATTCAGCTGGAAAGACGCTTTTCTACTTTGTTCTGAAATTTTCAAATGCTCACGTACTTCAGATATTGGTAAATTCCCTTTGAAAATACTTGTCCAGCGGAAGGTTTTGAAGATCCAAGAGGTAGCATGATATTGTGCAACGAACACTGTTCTAAATAGATGTGCTTTTCTAAGGCTGCAACCGACCAGGTTGGTGTTTTTGGCGAAACCATTTGAACTTTCTGAGCCTCCGTTCTCTAACCACAAGGCTGAATTAGCCAATTTATAAAGTATCTTGTACCATCTTCCGTTTCATACTGCTATGGATGCTGGTGAGATGGGCTAAATGAGGGACATATTATCAGGCTGCATTGGAGGGGAAACACATTACATAGCTTTTAATTAGAAAAATGTTGACATTTACTTCGAGTGAAAAATCTAAGAACATTCATTCCAAGTGGGCGACTGCTTGATGGCAGAGTGTCTCCACACCTTGTGCATTCCGATGCACCGAGTCGCTACGTGAACTGGTTAATAATCTATCCAGTTTCCCAGGTAAGAAGATACAAAACTCCACATCCTCAAACAATGAAACTATGCAGGTGTTATGCTACATTACAGTGTCCCTTATTCAACATTCAGCTTTCAACAACAGCATTCTAATAAAGTGACATTATATTATTAGATTTTTTATGGCAGTAGTAACTTAGCACTTAGAGTCCAGTCATCTGTGACACACATAAACGTATCCTGAAAGAAACAACAAACAGAAAGTATAAAGAGGAAAGAAGGCTGGATTTAGTATCCATCTTATGAGAAAAAAGAAGAAAATCCCACATAAACACACATGCATAAAACTACAGGTTCAAAAGCAATATCCCTCACTGTGAGATTAAGATTCTCTGTCCACCTCTTGAACATGTGAAACACTCCCCATTTATTCATCTAGCTCCACTTGTCTGTGCGCTGCCAGTTGCTGAAGTGTTTGGCAAAATTAGTCTAACTGACTGTTATGCACATGTTCAGTGCAGGAACTATTGTACCCTTGTAGTGACACAATGCGGACCTTTCACAACACCGTCTCTCCAGGAAGCAGGAACGGCAGGTGCCTGTAAAGTGTAATCAGTGCTCTTCGGATGCTCTACATTCTATGCAGATCTAAATAAGTTATAGATCACAGTAAAGTGCTACAACGACACTAGTCTCAAACAGTAGTAAGACACATTTTTCTCTGAAAATTTCAGCAGCTCTGGAAGTCACGGGAGGATGAGATGCGGTCAGTGTTCAATCGAGCTGGCACCCAGCAACTGGCCTGACCTTGACCATCTTGGCTCCTCTTGTGACTTCTAAAATTATCTATTTTAGGAGCAATTAGTAAAAGTCCAGTTTCTCACAAAGTACTTTTAAAAAAAATCTTCTTTAGTAGTTGCACCTGAAAGTTTCATGAGGATTTAGCTTGCTGAAATCTATTTTTATTTCTTCAGGCTTCTCACGCTGGTAGGTTACAGCTCTTGTGCAAACACTATGCAGAATCAACTTATCCTAGATGGGGAAGAAATGCTATTATTAATTAAAGACCTAAGTCTTAAAACTAGACCAGAGCATACTTACAGCAAATCTTTTTCTTAACTTCACTTACCTTTTTTGAGATTGGCCCTCTATAATCTACCGAAGACTTAATTTGATGGCTATTCCACTGCAGTATCACCTGTCTAATAATGAGGACTTTAAGCAAGCCAATCAAGAATGTTACTATAAAGATGATGAAAAATATCCTCAAGTAGCTTGGGCTAGAGAAGCATTCTGTAATGAAGTAAACATACGAATGTATTAAAAATTGGAATCAGCACACAAGTAAACCATATTCACCATCGCAGCTAATATGACAAGAAAGATTTGCAAATCAACATTTCAATGAAGGGGACTACCATTTCGGTTGATTCAGAAAGTGAATGCTATAATTTTAATTGTACATTTTGTATTAAAACATTTTTAATAGATGGCTCTCCATGGAGAATAGCCATCATGAAGGTATTTGATAAGGTTATCTCTTTGCAGCCTGGTTTTTAGAATGGCATTAACTGTAATGTGTACAAATCCCTTTATCAAACACAATTTTCTTCATGACAGAGGAACTGTTTTTATTATGTGCGTTGCTAATCACTAAATGGAAAGGGGGATTTGGCGGTATTCTTATTTTTTTTCCTAACAGCTCTGGATATTAGCATGTGCTTCTTTTGTTATGTTCTCTTCACTTGTTGTAATGGAAAATTAAGTAAACATCTGCAGAAGCTAAAACCAGTCCTACTCTCATAGATGAGAAAACATAGCATCTGACACGACTGCGTACGTACATTTCCATCGTTATTTGAGATGATCTCTCCAGGATCCAGGAACGTTCAACTTGGGGAACGGAACACAAATCCCCTTAATTTTTATTAGTTTACTTTTATTTGCTGATTAACCAAATCTACTTTGTTTTTAAAAAACTCCACTCGGCATCCTCTCAAGAACAGATCAGTATGAAATGCTGTGTGCAGAGGAGGGGCATGCTTCTCTGTTAGCTCCACCCTTCTGGCAAACGCTAGCTGGAAAACCTACAGGTCCCTGTTGATAGAGGCTTTCTCCTCCTATAAATGGAACCTGGTTGCAAAATGCACGTGTTCTGCAGAACTCAGCTGCTTCAGGCTCACAGAAACCACCTCCTGGCCTGAAGATTCATGTTTCTCTACCTATTTTCCAGACTGGCTTAGGGACTTGCCCTGAATGTGGAAAGTTCTCCTTAAAGAGTTCCTTAGGGAGGGACAACCCCGATCTCTCACCCGACAGGTTTAAAGTAGCATGTCATTTTCCCATGACTGATTTGAGTCTGAATCCTCAACCATGGCCAATGACGCTGTTACATAAGCCCTAACCAGTGACAGGGGCAAGAGGTCATCCCCAACGGGAAAGACTTAACAGAGTCAAGTTGGCTTTTGTCAGTGACAGGGTTTCTTGAAAGGAAGGTGCAAGGGCCGACTGATGGCTGGACACTGGAATGGAAACATCTGATGCCCGTGCATGGCTTCCTAGGTTATAGATCACCTGCAAGGAGGATCCAAGACCGCTGTGTCCTCCACAGTGACCACGAAGTTCCAACACTGACACATATGCCTTGTGTCCTAGCCGATGTGTTGTTTTCCCTTGGCTGACTTAAAACTCCTCAATCACCTAAAGTAGATCTTCAGAGGAGACACGTGGCATGATCCCACTTACTGGCTTCTAGCCTGGTTGTCGCTTAGGCAGAAAGACCAAAAGAATGCCCTTGGAGAGTGACGGAGTGGATGGAAGATGCAAGTGGTTAATAAGGGCCTTTTCCTTTTCTTGCATAATAGTGATGAAGGGGGAGGGGAGGGAGCTCCCTAGCTACTGATACATTTTCAAAATATTTCTAATGGATTGGGATAGAGGACACTTTCTGGGCTCAGATGTGTGCATAGTTTTAATGTTGTTAGCAATGGCTAAACATTGGCCTCTAGTTTGTGCCTCTTTTCTTGGTGTAGGCCAGGCAAGGGCCTGTAAGAAAACACTTTTTGCCATCTACTTAAGTCAGAGTGGGCTTGTTTACTTAGCATAATAAATGGCATGTTGACAGTAAGGGTCTAACTGATTAGAAAGGCACTTAGCCCTCATTGGGGGCTGGGCTGCTCTCCAGCTGCCTGCACATGGGCCCCTCTCCGAGCCAGATTGATGAGGGCTTCAGGCCAGTGTGGAGATGAGGGAAACAAGAAACACAACTTTGAGAAATGTGTATTCTTCTGTACAGTCCACCTAAGAGCTGGAATCATTCTTAAAGGTTGGAGGAGAGACTTGACCTCATAGGAGTGGTAGGCATGCTTTTACTGATTTCCCATTCAGGTATCATTCAACGTCCCCACGGGAAAGTTGACTTTTTGGGTGAACTTTGTGCCCTATGAGCATAGAAGTCACATGTGTCGGCCACTTCCATGTCCCCTGATCATGTGGGTACTTCTTTCATGTTCACCGACTCGTTTCTTCGTGCACTCCCCTTTGGTTTTGGTACAGTGCTCTTTCTCTGGGGTGATGCTGCCAATGGAAACGTCCGAAACTTTGAGGTTCTGAGTCCACCAGAGGCATCAAAGAAGCAACACCTGGTGAACGATTTCCTTAAAATCAGTCATTAAGACCCTGTAGACCACATTTCTCCTCTAATACACACGTGGCCATCAAGAGTTGTAATCCATTCATTGGTAAGTGGCTTACCAAAATTATGAATTCAATAGATGAGGAAAAGTGATGTTCAAAACTATTTATAATTAGCCAAATACTTCTTAAGTAATATTGTTAAGGGAAATTATTATTATTATTTTTTTGAGATTTGAAATTATTATTTTTTTTATAACATAGACATTGTTTATTTTCATTTAAAAAATATACGATAAATACACTGTCCCCATTCTTCAATTAGTAATGATAGACACTTGGGAACCATGTGATGTCATCCATTTTAGTTGACCATGGCTG